AAAAATTGAACAGACTGACGGACTACGACACATGGGACAAGAGAGTGGGTGAGTATGAAAAATATGAGGTGGTTGGACTGGCAAGCCCTATCATTTAATCAGAATACATTATATATATAATCCATAAGCCATATATGTCAGCCTGTTCTTGGAGCACAGCCCCAAAAGTTATCAGAAGTGATGTTCAAGTTTTAAGTCCAAAATTCTTTCAACACTATCTACACATTAATCAGGGTTGTCCAATTGTCCAATTGTGGATTGTGGTGTGAATGGAGTTATACATTGCCAAACAGAAACATTATTCACTACAACTACTTAACTTCTTAACAGGTTAAGAGTGCCAGTCTTCTGTTTCAGCACCCCCTGGACCATCATAGTACCCCCGATGCAGTTGACTTTAGCAAGCCATGGACATATTGGACATCCTCAAATTATTTGTTATATAGTAGTGTTGAAAGTATTAAAACTCGACGGCGTCGAAAAATAATCAAAGTATGCATTTGCGCCATACTGGACACATTTTATATTTAATATTCTACAGTTTGTAGAAATTAGTGTTATCAATAGTATAGCTTAACTGGCGAGCAAGCATCGTCCCACTCGGCCGGGACGAAAATACCGAGTCCAATCACAGAAAGTTAACCATAAACTAAAGATAAATATAAGAGCTCGGACATCGACAAAAATCACACACTCCAGACGACGGGGGAAGAGAGGAAAGAAAGCTGCTGGGCTCAACAAATTTTGATAATTGTAAACAAATTTGTTCTTGTGCCCTATAATAATTTGGTATTGAGGTATGACCCTGTACTGTGCGTGATGGTGAAAGTGAATGTGAATCTATAATGCGAACGAAGTGAGTTGTGGCCAAACGATTCTTCAATTTTAAAATAACAAAGTCAAAGGACTCTGTTTTAAAACACAAGCTCATTCTTATCGAAGTTTAATTCTGTCCATTCTAATTCTTCGTACCTGGACTGTATCTTGAGTAGCTCACTTTTCAGTGTTACTTTAACTAAGTTTGTTGACTTAGTAAAGCTTATCAAACTGTCAATTTTTCGACAGTCGTTCCACATTTTTGTTGATTGATAAATGAAAGAGGAGGATGGGTTTGGGGTGATGAACTGGTCTGAACGTCTTTGTGATGGTGATCTCTGGAGTAAAGATAGGAGTGAGATTGAGAATTCTAATCTGACAATTTTGAACAGTTCTAATAGACATGTGTATTTGTACAGGTTGTGGACGGTAAGAAGGCCGTTCTTGTTAAACAACGGCTTTGTATGCTCTTTTTCAAAGAATTCCCTCCCTAGGATTTGTTCATCTATACAACGTGTTCTGGCACATGTTCTAAACACACAGGTCACGAACACAAACAAAATACCTCCAATATTTCCAGCTAATATCTCAACTTATCACATACTTCAATTGGTAGAAGTCTTATTTAAACCCTCCCAACGAAGTATTCTGTATTTACTAATTACGATGGTTACAGAGGTACTGCGATGGTTACAGAGGTACTGCGATGTAGTAAGACATGTAAGAACAAGGATAAGATTTGCAATGTTGAGAACAACTCTTATTGCTCTACGAGGGTACCGAGGAAAGAAGGTGGACACAAAACGTGAGATTCAGCTATCAGAAGTCTCATACAACCTCATCCCTGCCCCTATAATGGAGTAGATCATGTGTTTTGTAAAAAAAAAAATTTTAAATAAATTATTGGTAGCAATGAATTGTGCTCTGCCAATTACAACACTTTTGTTCACTGTCTCTACTTTTATGTTGCCCAGATTGTTTGGTATGACTGTATTGGATTTTCAGATATAATCTTTATCATCAGTTACTGTTACTCCGTCTAAGGCAAAGATGCACACTCTCGTTAATTTAAGTGTCATTTACAGCTGTGCATAAGGGTTAAATTTAAATTATTTAACCTTTTGGTGTTGTATAAAAATAACATTAATTTATTATTATTATTATTGTGAGCTCTGCCAATTGCATCACTTGATTTAATTGAATGTATATAAACTGTTTGTCGATAGCTAAATAAAACAGGCTTCAGAGAGCAAGTACGTATAGTAAGTCATTTGTACATCGCCACGATTTAATAATATTCTATTTGATGTGTTTTGAGATGATCCTGAAACTGCCAATTCTTTGTTTATAAATCATTTGAAATACAGTCATGTTATATTAGAACTATTGGCAGTATAACTCAAAAAGTTTTCAATTCAAGAAATTTGTTCTGTGTTCACTTATGGAGCAGTGATTGTGATTACCAAACTACTTACTGGGTGGCGCTCAGCCTGTCATTCCGCCGAATCTCTATTTGGCGGTTTATGAACATAGTAGCCTGGGGTTTGGAGGACTTCGCCGCTTCGATGTTCGACGCGCCGCGCAAACTAGCATTCTTGCTTTGTTGACTGCATACGTTGCATGCCACTTTTCGCGCGCGAAGCGGTATCAATTGCTTCGCATCGAAGATCGTTGCTTTGCTTCGCAGAGCAACGATCTCGATGGGTTGACATTTCACATAGCCATGTGTATACGCGTACTGCCGTACTGCGTGACGCGCTTGTTACTGCAAGCGAGAGGGCTTTGGTTAAAGCAAGGTTGACATCGTCAATCAATCTGGGGTCCCCAAGTTATAAACTACTAAATTACCTGAATAATACTAATAGTGATTTTTAAATGACATCTAAACAAACCGCGTTTCTTGGTGTTTGCTGAAACGATATTTTGTAAAGCTGAACTATGATATTTACTAAATTGGATTCCTATCATAATTATTAAATTAGGGGGTGCAACATAAAAATAAACTTGCTCGGATTTTAAAAATTTTTGTACCATTGTTTTCTAGAGACTGTGAGAATTTTCACAATACCAAATTTGTCATACCTTTTTAGAAAGATCAGTGAGTTTCGCCTACGTGCCATATTTGATGGTGCGCGGCTTTTGGAGCAAAATTAGCTGTAAAAGTCGCGTAATTTGGCCAAATTTGACCAAATTCGTTGATTTTTGTCGTATTATTTGGATATATCTTCAGTTCCTTGAATGAGATCATTCTGAAAATTGGCGACGACCTTCCAATAGGGCTTTCACAACTGTCCGAAAAATTTGGTGGATATCGGAGTTGATATAGTGATCAAAATGGGGCAAAATACGCTGCTTTTAGCTGTAACATAATGTCTGATGGTTGGATATGCTTTAAACTTTTCGGACACTTTTCTTGTAAGTCTATGAGTAAGCTTACCAATTTTTGTTGCAATCGGAGGTCAGGAAGGATACTTAATATCTATTTGTTTGAAGAAAATTGTGCTGGCCGAAATTAGCGCTAAAAAACCATCCTACCACCTACAGTCGGCACGCGCGACTCACTGTCGATGGCGCACTACCTAATTAAATGTGTATGTGGTATGACTTTTAAATAATAAACCAACTTTGCTTATACTTGGTATAGTACCGTAACAACTAAAATTAAAGTAAAATGTATAACATCACATCATCACACATGTTTACAAAATATCATCACACTATGTAGCACTATTAGCGCATGAAAAAATAAATTTAAGCCTGGCTTTAGCATTACATTGTGCATATATTAAATAAATATTAATGCACTAACCGGCCAGCGCGTGCTACTTCGAAGAAATTTAAACGAGTGTCATCCGTCAAGCTTTTGCAATTTAAATAAAACTTCAAATCGACCGTGCTCCATACTTCAGTATAAAAGTCTTTTGGAGATCGGAGGATTTGAATTCGGGCTCCACAAAATGTTCATTTAGTCAACGGACACTTACCTATTGTTAATGAACTTGTAGCGCAATGCACTTATTGGCCGCGCCGCGCATCTTCTTGCAACCAGATCGTATGCAGATCTGCGAAATGCGAAGGATTGACATCGTGAATTAAGTCAATTATCATTAAAATTAATATACGTTTTGCTTTAAACATTAAAACAATTAATTACATGTCACATAGTTGGGTAGTTGAATGAAACTTATGCTACAAATGTTTACGCAGAACTGCGTACTGCTTAGTATTTCAAACTTGAGTGGTTCTTATACTGATGTTCACAGAGGCGCGCGCTCAATCAAAAATAATAAGCGCGCAGCGCGCGGTTTTTAGAATCTCTCCGTTATTGAATTGGATCGTAATGTTCACGGCAGAGCAGAGATATCTTTTTAATTATTTTGCTTCTGAAATTTTGGCTCAAGTAATTAAGAAATATGACATGTAATCATGTAAGATAACAATTAAACAAATTCTGTGTGCGGCGCTTATAGCTGCACCTTTACTGACTGGGCCGCGCTCAGCCTGTCATTCCGCCTAATCTCTATTCGTTAGAGATTAATAAACATGATAGCCTGAGGTCCCCAGGAAACGTGGTGCAATTGCATTCTCGGAATGTTTGAAGCGTGCAAATGCGATGAACTTACGAGCGCGCGCTAAGCTCAACATGAACAAGCTGTGAAGACGCAATTTTACCTGTAGTAATATCGCCAGGAAGTAAGGTTTGCTGGTTTATAATGGACTAGCCCGGCGCGCGCTATTTCGTAGCACTAGTTGCCTTCGTCGGAAGCCTTTTAGAAATATTTCAAAGTTCGAGTGATTAATCACTCTACACTCGACTGTCACGTGACTTTTTCAACCCGTTCTCTAACTGGCCCTGAACGACTATTCGAAACCCTAACCCTCTTATCTGATCCCAACCCAATCCCTAACAAAAGCATATGCTGAAACCCTAACCCTAACGAGAAATTCGACCAACTTCCATATACGGTCATATCACGTGATCAAGACAGTTTTTCGCCAATATCTCGGCAGGGGAGCATTTTAACCCTATGTCATGGGGGGTGATTCTGAATCAGCGTCCGAAAATACATCTATTCAAGCTGGTTTCAACTGTCGGGGGCCCTTTTAGAACAATCTCGAAGATCGACTGTAGAGTGATTTAGCACGCTCGGAAATTTACACTGTACACAAATAAAAATAGTTTGTTTTATAATAACAAATAAAACAAATTCTGCATAATGATACAAAATATCACATGACAGAATTTCATTGTACATTTTGGTACATTTATGGGAAAAGGGTCAACTTTCAGTTCCAGTTAGAAGTTAATAAATACTGCTTCTTATCGACAAAAATGTTCAACATTAGAATAGATAAAAGAGAGGCACCGTTATTTATGATCTGAAATATTGCTCAAGTCTGTCACTAATCAAGATTTAAAATCAGCACAGCTGTTTTAAAAATGTTTACAAACCATTCGGCCGTCTCTAGTGAAACGAACGAAAATGGGACATATAAAATTAAAAGGTGGTAGCGCGCACACTGCACAGTGATAACTTGTATGGCATAAGATAAAGAATGCGATAAGATTATTTATGCGATTGTCTGTCATATCCTCTACATAACTGATAACATTCCTCTACAAAAAGTACTCCAGTTCGTGCCGGATATAAGAGTTCTTCTCGTCGTCAGGAATGCGAGGGAAGGCTGGGACGAGGGCGTCTTGAGCGGAGATGTAAAGTCCGTTATAAACTTTCCAGTAAACATCTCGTACCTGAAAAAAGGAGGGTTTTATTCGTGTTTTGGATTTGATCATAATCACCGAAGCTGAGGGGGCAAAAAACGATGACGGAAAATAATTTGAGCAACTTTTAAACTTTCTAGCGGGACATTTCATCACACCACATGACGTCATCACGTGTCTGGTGTCGTCATACCACGTGACGTGACGTCATACCACGTGAGAACTCTAACCTTTCTAGCAGGATGGAAGAGTCCCTGAAGAGTGTACTGCAGAACTTTGACAGGACCCAGAGCACATCGCAACCCTTCAATAGCTTCAATAACTGCGTTTATAACGTGAGGGGACGTCTCGAATATGTTGGGCCAAACGTAGTTAAGAAGGTGAATCAGAGCGTCCTCGCACCCCAACCCAACCACTCCTGGGACAATTTATTTGTATTAAGGTTCACTGAGAACATTGACCACTCAAAGTTCCCGTTATTTACACTCCTAAATCCTAATCATGGTTCAGTATGTCAGGCTCACCTAGAGACATGTGCTTGATAGCGGCACAAGCTGTTTGTCTGTGGACGAGATCTCTGTCCATGAGGGCGTCTTCTAAAAGTGGGGTCACAGCGTACACGTAATCCTTACCCATCTCACCTGCAGAGTAATTAGAGAGTAATTAGAGATAATTTTAATAAATGTAACACCTTTGATAAAACAATTTAGAGAGGTCATTCAAGTCTTATTACAATGTTATAAGTTATGTTATGAGTAATAGCGAGCATTATCATTACAATGGTTACAGGACTCCTGACATTACTAAATGATAATCTGTTACAGACAAGTTAAGTTATTTTTTGTGTAAAATAACGGAATTATAAGATGAAACCCGGCAAAAAGGAGTCCAGCATTGCCTGCATTACAGGACTCCTAAAAAGACACGTACCAATATACTCGAAGAGGAAACTGAGACTCTTGAGGACTCCGTTCTGCACGTTTAACTCCGGGACTCTGTACTCGTTCATCAGTGCGGGTAGGACAGTGAAGGGAGAACAGGTCTCCGCGACAATCGCTATGGCAACCGTTGTACACACCCTGTTCTGTCTCTCTTGCACTTTGAGGTTGTTGAGGAGTACTGCCAACACGTCGTGAGGTCCTGGAGGAATGTGGGGAATGTTTTTAGTTATTTATTTTCAAGTTTTAGATGTTTTGGTTCATGTGCTAGTAATTTAGGAGATACCTTTTCTATTTTTCTTCTCCTTTAGAAAACAAAACAACGGCGAATTTTAAAATGATATCCGAGAGATTTAGAATTCGGCTGAATAAAATAAATGAATAAAAATAAAATGAACGAACCTATAGCTTTAGCAATGTAACCAAAAGTATTGACCGTGGCTCTTCTGATGGCCTTCTTGTGGGCTTTGAGCAGTTCCAGTAACTCAAAACATATTCTCATCCACTCTCTGGCGAAAAATTAACAATTTAGCACAACTACTAATTAACTATTTATGTTATTAGCCAATCCCGTTATGAAACAATCATATATAATTAATCAATCATATAGACCACAACCTACATAAGCATCTAAGCATTGAAAACTGAAGATATGCCCACAATAATGGGTAAATTATGTATTCATTTAATAATTACAGTAAATAATCAATTAGTTACTTAATCACTTAATTATAGTAGCGGGTAACTGACCTGGCTGACACATATTCAGAGCCTCTGTCAGCGATCCTTCCTACCAAGTCTATACAATTCTCCTGTACTTTCTCGTGTCTGTTCTTTAGGATAGGAGTCAACCTGAACACATGTTTGTTTGGGAGCCAGCTTTGTTTACTGGTTAACGTTTACTCAAGTATTTATACATACAATTATATAGAATAATTATATACCTAAATCTGCTAATATAAAACCTAAATAACTCTAAAAATATACTCCACACGAAATTATGGAGCTGGAAGTAAGATTAAATACATCAGCTTAATACACAAATCAAAACAAAATTCTAGAAGACTGACAGTCTTGTGTTGAAAGACGAATATGATTTAGAAGCTTATCAAAAAAATTAAAATCTTAGCGAACCAGGAATCCATAAATCCAAGCAAGTCTTATCAACGTAATGATAAGTAACTGATAAGCGAGCACTAACGTATTGAAAAGTGTAATTACTGAACTCTTACATTTACATTTCAATAACAATACTTTTGTAAACTTCAGGATAGGAGTCAACCTGAACACATGTTTGTTTGGGAGCCAGCTTTGTTTACTGGTTAACGTTTACTCAAGTATTTATACATACAATTATATAGAATAATTATATACCTAAATCTGCTAATATAAAACCTAAATAACTCTAAAAATATACTCCACACGAAATTATAGAGCTGGAAGTAAGATTAAATACATCAGCTTAATACACAAATCAAAACAAAATTCTAGAAGACTGACAGTCTTGTGTTGAAAGACGAATATGATTTAGAAGCTTATCAAAAAAATTAAAATCTTAGCGAACCAGGAATCCATAAATCCAAGCAAGTCTTATCAACGTAATGATAAGTAACTGATAAGCGAGCACTAACGTATTGAAAAGTGTAATTACTGAACTCTTACATTTACATTTCAATAACAATACTTTTGTAAACTTCAGGATAGGAGTCAACCTGAACACATTTACATTTCAATAACAATACTTTGGTAAACTTCAGGATAGGAGTCAACCTGAACACATTTACATTTCAATCACAATACTTTTGTAAACTTCAGGATAGGAGTCAACCTGAACACATTTACATTTCAATAACAATACTTTTGTAAACTTCAGGATAGGAGTCAACCTGAACACATTTACATTTCAATAACAATACTTTTGTAAACTTCAGGATAGGAGTCAACCTGAACACATTTACATTTCAATAACAATACTTTTGTAAACTTCAGGATAGGAGTCAACCTGGACACATTTACATTTCAATAACAATACTTTTGTAAACTTCAGGATAGGAGTCAACCTGAACACATTTACATTTCAATAACAATAATTTTGTAAACTTCAGGATAGGAGTCAACCTGAACACATTTACATTTCAATAACAATACTTTTGTAAACTTCAGGATAGGAGTCAACCTGAACACATTTACATTTCAATAACAATACTTTTGTAAACTTCAGGATAGGAGTCAACCTGAACACATTTACATTTCAATCACAATACTTTTGTAAACTTCAGGATAGGAGTCAACCTGAACACATTTACATTTCAATAACAATACTTTTGTAAACTTCAGGATAGGAGTCAACCTGAACACATTTACATTTCAATAACAATACTTTTGTAAACTTCAGGATAGGAGTCAACCTGAACACATTTACATTTCAATAACAATACTTTTGTAAACTTCAGGATAGGAGTCAACCTGAACACATTTACATTTCAATAACAATACTTTTGTAAACTTCAGGATAGGAGTCAACCTGAACACATTTACTATACATTTACTATACATTTACTATACATTTACTATACATTTCAATCACAATACTTTTGTAAACTTCAGGATAGGAGTCAACCTGAATACATTTACATTTCAATCACAATTCTTTTGTAAACTTCAGGATAGGAGTCAACCTGAACACATTTACATTTCAATCACAATTCTTTTGTAAACTTCAGGATAGGAGTCAACCTGAACACATTTACATTTCAATAACAATATTTTTGTAAACTTCAGGATAGGAGTCAACCTGAACACATTTACATTTCAATCACAATACTTTTGTAAACTTCAGGATAGGAGTCAACCTGAACACATTTACATTTCAATCACAATTCTTTTGTAAACTTCAGGATAGGAGTCAACCTGAACACATTTATATTTCAATCACAATACTTTTGTAAACTTCAGGATAGGAGTCAACCTGAACACATTTACATTTCAATAACAATACTTTTGTAAACTTCAGGATAGGAGTCAACCTGAACACATTTACATTTCAATCACAATTCTTTTGTAAACTTCAGGATAGGAGTCAACCTGAACACATTTACATTTCAATAACACTATTTTTGTAAACTTCAGGATAGGAGTCAACCTGAACACATTTACATTTCAATCACAATACTTTTGTAAACTTCAGGATAGGAGTCAACCTGAACACATTTACATTTCAATCACAATTCTTTTGTAAACTTCAGGATAGGAGTCAACCTGAACACATTTACATTTCAATAACAATATTTTTGTAAACTTCAGGATAGGAGTCAACCTGAACACATTTACATTTCAATCACAATACTTTTGTAAACTTCAGGATAGGAGTCAACCTGAACACATTTACATTTCAATCACAATTCTTTTGTAAACTTCAGGATAGGAGTCAACCTGAACACATTTATATTTCAATCACAATACTTTTGTAAACTTCAGGATAGGAGTCAACCTGAACACATTTACATTTCAATCACAATACTTTTGTAAACTTCAGGATAGGAGTCAACCTGAACACATTTACATTTCAATCACAATACTTTTGTAAACTTCAGGATAGGAGTCAACCTGAACACATTTACATTTCAATCACAATACTTTTGTAAACTTCAGGATAGGAGTCAACCTGAACACATTTACATTTCAATCACAATACTTTTGTAAACTTCAGGATAGGAGTCAACCTGAACACATTTACATTTCAATCACAATACTTTTGTAAACTTCAGGATAGGAGTCAACCTGAACACATTTACATTTCAATCACAATACTTTTGTAAACTTCAGGATAGGAGTCAACCTGAACACATTCACATTTCAATAACAATACTTTTGTAAACTTCAGGATAGGAGTCAACCTGAACACATTTACATTTCAATAACAATACTTTTGTAAACTTCAGGATAGGAGTCAACCTGAACACATTTACATTTCAATAACAATACTTTTGTAAACTTCAGGACAGGAGTCAACCTGAACACATTTACATTTCAATCACAATACTTTTGTAAACAGAATAAATATTCAATAATGTAGACATATAAAATGGTGCTTCTCGTGTGTTAAAGAGTGCTCCCAATGGCAATTCTGTGTTCATTGAGTGAAAAAGGGATTTGTTATACCGTTTTCATTGTTCTCCTGAATTGTCTTATAGTGCGTAAATTACTTTGAGAAATTCATCTGGTGGGTCAGCATGGTCTATTCCCATTAACTTTGAGAAATAACAATTATCCTAAAAACAATCATCAACTAACCTGGGCAACAAATCTTTGATAGGAGGTGTCATCTTGTGCATTCCAATGACATTAACCACAGCTTTAAGTCCCCCGAGAATGGAGCCCAGTACCTCCGGATACTCCTCCCCTAGGTACTCGTACAGTACCACACCCAGATGTCCGAGTAGCTTCTCCTCTCCGCACACCATCATCACCGGGGCAATACGAGATATCAGATCTGCTGCTTGTTGACGTACTTTAGCAGTTTTGTTGTTCAGCCTGAACGGAATAGAGTAAATTCCTTTCCTGATAAGAGCATCAAACGGGATCAATACTATTTTACACAAGAATACATTGCAACCATGCGACTCATAAACAATACTTCAATCCGGATTTTACCTGAACAGAATTGTACCACAGATCTGGGGTAGATAAGGTTTTGTTCGGATACCAAGAGAGGAAACTACGGTACCGAATCCGTTCAGCATTATCACATCCTCGGTGGTTTGTTCCTGGAGACGGAAGGAGGGTTAGTAAGTGAATCTGAGCGGTAACATGTGAAATATTATTGTAATCCGAACACAACTCTAGTGTTAATTTCGTAGTCAGATTCAGAGGTCAGTAAGCCAATCAGACTGATCGATGGGTTCCAGTACTAAAATAAAAAATGTTCACTGATTGAACTTTATCATGATATAGTCGATATTAAACATTTATGCTTATGTAATTTTGTGACATCACACATTTTGGAAATAATCTTATTAGCAGGATGATAAGCAGACTTTCTTTCGTTTACACATTTTAACCAGGCATTTATTAAACATTTTCTCTCTCTCTCTCTCTCTCTCTCTCTCTCTCTCTGCATGAGTGCATGAGCGATCTGTTTAAAATATTGTGTCTTTCAATGAATCTGTTACATGATGATCATTTATTGTCCGCTTAATAGTAATAAATATATTACGTTTAATAAACTCGATTGATGTTAGAGTTTATCTCAACTTTGATTTATTCTGGGATAATTTGAGATATCGGCTATGACAATTGTGTTACAACTTCATATAACCTCACCTTATTTTACCCCCACCCCCCATGACTATTACATATAAAATACTGATCTTATTATCCCTCGTCCACTAAGCAGATAGACAAGCTAAATGGACAAGGAGAATACTCAAAACTGTGTTAGCTTTGGAACAAACAACGTGAAGTTTTGTGGAGTTCACAAAGCGTGGGAACCCAGAGATTGGATAACTGAAACTGATTTTATACATCTGAAAATTGTCATTTTGCCAACAGTATTTGTCGCAGTGATCTACTTTGTGGTGATTAGTTTACATGACAAGAAGCGTCTGGAAAACATACCACTCCTTTTTGTTCCACCTCGACACTTTCCCAGCAAACACTGATATCCTGGGGTGTATCCAGAAGTGCCTTGCCTGTGTAACAGATCAGCGTGGAGCACTGAAGATCTCATTTATAGTGTACTGGTGGGTCCTACCTGTAGCCTACATGCTTTACGACTGTCTGGATGTTTTCCTCGACTTGAGTTACTTCTACAAACTTGAACTGGCCACAGGGAACCTCCTAGATAACCGGATCATGAGGAATAAAGCTGTCAACAATGCTATACTCGTGTTCTCCATATTCGGATGTTTGAAAGCCTTCTTGGTTCTCCAATGTAACTATGTTATCTGCAACCAATCAAAGGTTCTCACCAAACTGACAGATTCCCCATCTTCAAACCGCCGTATCTTGGAGGAATGTATACAAGTAGTAGCCCTGGTGAACAGAAGTAAGATAACTCTCATCGCTCTGATATTTGAAGATGGGGTTGAGCTCTTCCTGGAGTATTTCTATGCTGATAAATACGCAACTAAATCCGACTGGCTGGTCCTTTTGAACGCAACACTAATGGCTGTTATAGCCGGCCTAGCAGTGGTCATCAACTCCAGGGTATTCCTCACTAAACTCTGGCTGACCAACGTTAAGAGAGACAGAGGCGTTGATGACTGTCACTCCAAATACCTCTTCCTGACACTTCCTGTTCAACTCATTGCCGTAAGCAAGGTTCTTCGAGCGTACGCTTGCTGGGTGCAAGCTTTAAGTGGGGAGATTGCTGTAGAGTGTCTTGAAGTTAAGGAGGGAGCATTGATACAAACTCCCTTTATTTGGGGTTGCTTGTCCAAGACTGATATCTTAATACTTTTATTCACTGTACTTTCTTTTGGCGCTATTTTCTGCCAATTTTTATCCAAGTGTAGTAAAGCAGTCTGCTGTTGATTGAACGACTTTTTTAAATATTCAGTTTTTCCATTAAGAAACGTTACTAAGTTGGCAGTGGCAGTCATGTCTTGATACTTTGTACTTTAATTTTCTTACATTTTTCTTTGTGAATTTTAGTTTTCATCAGTTCTGTCTTCATTGGTATATCTGGACAAGTAAAATGCCGCAGAAGCAAATGAAGTAAACGAAAGTTATAATACATTTCAAATCAAACCCTAACTAACGGTAAGTTACCGCTGTATTGAGTCAGTGACAAATAAGGAAATATCTTCTGACGAAAGGAATAATTACAGGAATAACGGACAATGTAAAGCCCCCCCCCCCCCCCCCCCCCCCCCCCATGACTATTGCATACAAAATACTGATCTTATTATCCCTCGTCCACTAAGCAGATAGACAAATAGACAAGCTAAATGGACAAGGACAATACTCAAAACTGTGTTAGCTTTGGAAAAAACAACGTGACGTTTTGTGGAGTTCACAAAGCGTGGGAACCCAGAGATTGGATGACTGAAACTGATTTTATACATCTGAAAATTGTAATTTTGCCAACGGTTTTTGTCGCAGTGATCTATTTTGTAGTGATTGTTTACATGACTAGAAGCGTCTGGAGAACATACCACTCCTTTTTGTTCCACCTCGACACTTTCCCAGCAAACACTGATATCCTGGGGTGTATCCAGAAGTGCCTTGCCTGTGTAACAGATCAGCGTGGAGCACTGAAGATCTCATTTATAGTGTACTGGTGGGTCCTACCTGTAGCCTACATGCTTTACGACTGTCTGGATGTTTTCCTTGACTTGAGTTACTTCTACAAGCTTGAACTGGCCACAGGGAACCTCCTAGATAACCGGATCACGAGGAATAAAGCTGTCAACAATGCTATACTCGTGTTCTCCATATTCGGATGTTTGAAAGCCTTCTTGGTTCTCCAATGTAACTATGTCATCTGCAACCAATCAAAGGTTCTCACCAAACTGACAGATTCCCCATCTTCAAACCGCCGTATCTTGGAGGAGTGTATACAAGCAGTAGCCCTGGTGAACAGAAGTAAGATAACTCTCATCGCTCTGATATTTGAAGATGGGGTTGAGCTCTTCCTGGAGTATTTCTATGCTGATAAATACGCAACTAAATCCGACTGGCTGGTCCTCTTGAACGCAACACTAATGGCTGTTATAGCCGGCCTAGCGGTGGTCATCAACTCCAGGGTATTCCTCACTAAACTCTGGCTGACCAACGTTAAGAGAGACAGAGGGGTTGATGACTGTCACTCCAAATACCTTTTCTTGACACTTCCTGTTCAACTCATAGCCGTAAGTAAGGTTCTTCGAGCGTACGCTTGCTGGGTACAAGCATTAAGTGGGGAGATTGCTGTAGAGTGTCTTGAAGTTAAGGAGGGAGCGTTGATACAAACTCCCTTTATTTGGGGCTGCTTGTCCAAGACTGATACCTTAATACTTTTATTCACTGTACTTTCTTTTGGCGCAATTTTCTGCCAATTTTTATCCAAATGTAGTAAAGCAGTCTGCTGTTGATTGAAAGCTACGACTTTTTAAAATATTCAGTTTTTCCATTAAGAAACGTTACTAAGATGGTAGTTGGCAGTCATATTTTGATACTTTGTACTTTAATTTTCTTTGTGAATTTTAGTTTTATCAGTTCTGTCTTCATTGGTATAATATCTGGACAATTAAAATGCCGCAGAAGCAAATGAAGTAAACGAAAGTTAAGCATTTCAAATCAAACCCTAACTAACCTTATGCTTCTCTAGCGTAAAGTTACCGTCGAGTCAGTGACAAATTAAGAAATATTTTCTGACGAAAGGAATAATTACAGGAATAACGGACAATGTAAAACTGAAAATACCTGGAAAGCGTAGAGGATACCATCTATAAGCTGTTCCTCCAACCTATTATCAATATCAGTAGCCCCCATGTACTAATTACTAATTACTAATTACTAATTACTAATTACTAATTACCTGGAAAGCGTAGAGGATACCATCTATAAGCTGTTCCTCCAACCTATTATCAATATCAGTAGCTCCCATGTTGGTCAGGATCTGTTCTATCGTCTCCATCACCATCTTACGGTACTGCTCGTTCTCATCCTTCAGATCATCTACCACGCGTACTATTATCTCAGCTGCTCCTACCTGGTGTGTTTAATATACAATATACATTATACATTATACATTATACATTATACAATATACATTATACATTATACATTATATCCTTCAGGTCATCCACCACGCGCACTATTATCTCAGCTGCTCCTACCTGGTGTGTTTAATTAAATTAAAATAATTAAAGTAATTAAAATAAGTTTATATTTAATGAAATTATTGAATTATAAGTTTAATTATATTCCGAATTAAACTGAGCTAGATTAAGGTAGAGTAAACGAAATTGAGGGGTTAGCTAAATGACAAACCTTGTTAGCGAGTTCTACAGTTGTGTCAACTAACTGTCTGTAATTCCTACGATCAAGTGCCATTCTCTGATTCCAGAAATTCCTGGAATTATAAACAGAATGTTAATTAAAATAGAGGCTGGGAGATATTGAGATCAAAATACAGTAAATAGTCCCTACCAAAATACAGTAAATAGTATTAAAATATACAGTAAATACAGTAAATAGTAACCATAGTAACGACTAACCTGAAGAACTCTGGAAGTATTTCCTCCCTGATGTACTGACTCTCTACACCATCAGTACCACAACACTGCTTTACTACCTGAACAATATCTTAATAGTCGCCTTTCCTTTAATATAATTCATCAAAATATCAATTCATCAAAATATTAGCCATCCACCTTTTTGAAATCCCCTTACAGAAATGTGTCAAATAACATTTTCAAATGATGAGAGCTACGTTAGCTGCTGCTATGTAGCTGTTGCTAATTGCTATGTTGCTAATTGCTATGTAGCTGTTGCTATGTAGATGTTGCTATGTAGCTGTTGCTATGTAGCTGTTGCTATGTAGCTGTTGCTATGTAGCTGTTGCTATGTAGCTGTTGCTATGTAGCTGTTGCTATGTAGCTGTTGCTATGTAGCTGTTGCTATGTAGCTGTTGCTATGTAGCTGTTGCTATGTAGCTGTTGCTATGTAGCTGTTGCTATGTAGCTGTTGCTATGTAGCTGTCGCTATGTAGCTGTTGCTATGTAGCTGTTGACTACACGTACCTTCAACACGATCTTCTTCATCTCCTCGTCAGGGGACTGGAACTCTCGAATCAGAATCAACATCACCTCCTGAGTGTAGTATCTGGCGTATTCTGCGTCCATAAGCGGGATAAGATAACCAATAGCCTTGAGGAAGGCAGCTAGACCCTTACCTCGGTGCATCCTGACAGAGATTAGTGTGTCAGGTAGGTGTTCGATAGCATGGTTACCATGGTAACATTACCTTATATGGTAGTGTTACCATGGTAACATTACTTGAGGAAGGCAGCTAGACCCTTACCTCGGTGCATCCTGACAGATTAGTGTGTCAGGTGGGTGTTAGATAGCATGGTTACCATGGTAACATTACCTTATATGGTAGTGTTACCATGGTAACATTACGTTATATGGTAGTGTTACCATGGTAACATTACGTTATATGGTAGTGTTACCATGGTAACATTACTTGAGGAAGGCAGCTAGACCCTTACCTCGGTGCATCCTGACAGAGATTAGTGTGTCAGGTGGGTGTTAGATAGCATGGTTACCATGGTAACATTACCTTATATGGTAGTGTTACCATGGTAACATTACTAGAGGAAGGCAGCTAGACCCTTACCTCGGTGCATCCTGACAGAGATTAGTGTGTCAGGTGGGTGTTAGATAGCATGGTTACCATGGTAACATTACCTTATATGGTAGTGTTACCATGGTAACATTACCTTATATGGTAGTGTTACCATGGTAACATTACTTGAGGAAGGCAGCTAAACCCTTACCTCGGTGCATCCTGACAGAGATTAGTGTGTCAGGTGGGTGTTAGATAGCATGGTTACCATGGTAACATTACCTTATATGGTAGTGTTACCATGGTAACATTACTTGAGGAAGGCAGCTAGACCCTTACCTCGGTGCATCCTGACAGAGATTAGTGTGTCAGGTGGGTGTTAGATAGCATGGTTACCATGGTAACATTACGTTATATGGTAGTGTTACCATGGTAACATTACCTTATATGGTAGTGTTACCATGGTAACATTACTTGAGGAAGGCAGCTAAACCCTTACCTCGGTGCATCCTGACAGAGATTAGTGTGTCAGGTGGGTGTTAGATAGCATGGTTACCATGGTAACATTACGTTATATGGTAGTGTTACCATGGTAACATTACCTTATATGGTAGTGTTACCATGGTAACATTACTTGAGGAAGGCAGCTAAACCCTTACCTCGGTGCATCCTGACAGAGATTAGTGTGTCAGGTGGGTGTTAGATAGCATGGTTACCATGGTAACATTACCTTATATGGTAGTGTTACCATGGTAACATTACTTGAGGAAGGCAGCTAGACCCTTACCTCGGTGCATCCTGACAGAGATTAGTGTGTCAGGTGGGTGTTAGATAGCATGGTTACCATGGTAACATTACCTTATATGGTAGTGTTACCATGGTAACATTACTAGAGGAAGGCAGCTAAACCCTTACCTCGGTGCATCCTGACAGAGATTAGTGTGTCAGGTGGGTGTTAGATAGCATGGTTACCATGGTAACATTACCTTATATGGTAGTGTTACCATGGTAACATTACTTGAGGAAGGCAGCTAGACCCTTACCTCGGTGCATCCTGACAGAGATTAGTGTGTCAGGTAGGTGTTAGATAGCATGGTTACCATGGTAACATTACCTTATATGGTAGTGTTACCATGGTAACATTACTTGAGGAAGGCAGCTAGACCCTTACCTCGGTGCATCCTGACAGAGATTAGTGTGTCAGGTGGGTGTTAGATAGCATGGTTACCATGGTAACATTACCTTATATGGTAGTGTTACCATGGTAACATTACTTGAGGAAGGCAGCTAGACCCTTACCTCGGTGCATCCTGACAGAGATTAGTGTGTCAGGTGGGTGTTAGATAGCATGGTTACCATGGTAACATTACCTTATATGGTAGTGTTACCATGGTAACATTACTTGAGGAAGGCAGCTAGACCCTTACCTCGGTGCATCCTGACAGAGATTAGTGTGTCAGGTGGGTGTTAGATAGCATGGTTACCATGGTAACATTACCTTATATGGTAGTGTTACCATGGTAACATTACTTGAGGAAGGCAGCTAGACCCTTACCTCGGTGCATCCTGACAGAGATTAGTGTGTCAGGTGGGTGTTAGATAGCATGGTTACCATGGTAACATTACCTTATATGGTAGTGTTACCATGGTAACATTACTTGAGGAAGGCAGCTAGACCCTTACCTCGGTGCATCCTGACAGAGATTAGTGTGTCAGGTGGGTGTTAGATAGCATGGTTACCATGGTAACATTACCTTATATGGTAGTGTTACCATGGTAACATTACTTGAGGAAGGCAGCTAGACCCTTACCTCGGTGCATCCTGACAGAGATTAGTGTGTCAGGTGGGTGTTAGATAGCATGGTTACCATGGTAACATTACCTTATATGGTAGTGTTACCATGGTAACATTACTTGAGGAAGGCAGCTAGACCCTTACCTCGGTGCATCCTGACAGAGATTAGTGTGTCAGGTGGGTGTTAGATAGCATGGTTACCATGGTAACATTACCTTATATGGTAGTGTTACCATGGTAACATTACTAGAGGAAGGCAGCTAGACCCTTACCTCGGTGCATCCTGACAGAGATTAGTGTGTCAGGTGGGTGTTCGAGGACGCGAAAGATTGTACATAATTGTTGCTAATTAATAAATATTATGTATGATTGAAATTAAAATCATGAAGGTTAATTTTAGGTTAAAATTAGGTGAGAATGTTTCCAATATTAACGTGGGGACTATTAATTGTTCTTTATCGGTAGTTTAATTGCACTTTTCAGAAGATAAAAGTAAAGCAGGTTACTAAGTAACCTCGAATGGTTACTAAATAACCTATACTGGTTACTAGGTAACCTCTAATGGTTACTAAGTAACCTATACTGGTTACTAGGTAACCTATACTGGTGACTAAGTAACCTATACTGGTTACTAAGTAACCTATACTGGTTACTAAGTAACCTATACTGGTTACTAAGTAACCTATACTGGTTACTAAGTACCTATACTGGTTACTAAGTAACCTATACTGGTTACTAAGTAACCTATACTGGTTACTAGGTAACCTATACTGGTTACTAGGTAACCTATACTGGTTACTAAGTAACCTATACTGGTTACTAAGTAACCTATACTGGTTACTAAGTAACCTATACTGGTTACTAAGTAACCTATACTGGTTACTAAGTACCTATACTGGTTACTAAGTAACCTATACTGGTTGCTCACCTAATACCCTTCCAGAGAGGTTTAAGCACAGAATCAAAGCTCTCAATACCGTAGGGAGTAGCCGCCTCAGCCAGGGCAGCTATAGCTAGAGCTGTAATGGTTCTCACTTTCTGCTGCTCGTCTACCAGACCGTGTTCTATAATCTCCACCAGGTTCCGGAGATGGGGCAGGATGGCACAACCCATCAAGATAGCAACCTGAATTGTAATGTGGCACAACCCATCAAGATAGCAACCTGAATTGTAATGTGGCACAACCCATCAAGATAGCAACCTGAATTGTAATGTGGCACAACCCATCAAGATAGCAACCTGAATTGTAATGTGGCACAACCCATCAAGATAGCAACCTGAATTGTAATGTGGCACAACCCATTAGGATAGCAACCTGAATAATTGTAATGTGGCACAACCCAACAAGATAGCAACCTGAATAATTGTAATGTGGCACAACCCAACAAGATAGCAACCTGAATAATAATAATGTGGCACAACCCATCAAGATAGCAACCTGAATTTTAGTATTATGAATGAAGGACCCTGTGTGGTAAAAATTGTACACATAGAAGTACATACACAACTACACTCTCTGTCCCTCTGGTTTGGACCTAATTTTTACAAAATATCCAAGAAAAAACTTGTAATTTACAGTTAACACCCCTAGAATTAGTTTAACTGTAGCCTACCTGCTGAACGATCTTGATACCAGTATGCCGCGCTTGCCATGACTTCTTACTCCTACACACAGCCTTAAGGAAGGGAAGGAGAGAGGGAATACCGAGCGCGCTCGCGACCACAGCAAACGCACGTGCTGTCGTGTTACGCACGTACTCGTCCATGTTGTCGATATCGGGCCTCATTGTTGAGATCATGGTAGCGAGACCTGGTCAAGGGGGAAGGTTGGTGATTAAGTGAATTGGTTAATTAGTTAATTAGTTAATTGACGATTGAAGGTCCTCAAGTGGGTATGAGAAAAAGCTGTTAAATTGGAAATGAAACTCAGCCAATCAGCCATATTTTCTTGTTCGATTAAAAAGGGAAATGTACAATGATCAATAAGATCCTATCGTTGATCATTTGAAATGTGATTTAACCAACAACACAAAACTCTCTAAAAACCCACCAGCAGCTTTAGCAAGATTGGAGATAATCTCCCTGCCCTCAACTCTCGCATAGTAATCCTCATCAATCAGTAGAGGCTCAATAACAACCAGGATCTTATGAACGAAGGGTCGGACCAGATCGTCCAGTTTGTAAAGGATCCTGTCGATTACTTTTACCAGCAAATGTCGCTCCTGTTGGGGAGGAAGTTTTAGTTGGTGTTACTAAATGGTGTAAAGTGTAGTTGTAATTTTGTTCGATATCAGGAACAATGAAAGCTATTGAAAGGGTTCAATATTGTGGTGATTGTCATTTGCGCTGGGTCAGGGGATAACTGTATCTTTAGATTGGTAACTTATAAGCACAATATCAAACCAAACAAAACTATTGTCACTAAGCAGTTAAAACATCCGGTGGACTGGCTTGATGTTGGTTGTAACTAAGTAACCTCTACTAGTGCTGGTTACTAAGCAACCTATATTGGTAACTAAGCAACCTATACTGGTTACTAAGCGACCTCTAATGGTTACTAACCTCTAATGGTTACTAACCTGATCCTCAAGAGTAGGAGACATCAGAAGAGGTAGAATCTGGTTAAACAGAGCTGCTGCTCCGAACTCCCTTGCTTTGTCCGTTATTTGTCTCATGGCTGCTTTACGCATGGGCGGGGTTCCGTTCTTGATTTTAAGGAGCAGTTTCATAATCTTCCTTTCCTGGAGGGAGGTTGTTAAAGCGTGAGATGGTTTTATGTCTTAATCTGGTCCTAATTTAATCTACATTCCCTACATTTCCTACATTCCCTACATTCCCTACAATACCTATAAACCCTGTAAATCCTAGTTTAATTGTACCTTGAGTTCCTCTGGTGTGAGAGTAAACCCTGTAAATCCTAGTTTAACTGTACCTTGAGTTCCTCTGGTGTGAGAGTAAACCCTGTAAATCCTAGTTTAACTGTACCTTGAGTTCCTCTGGTGTGAGAGTAAACCCTGTAAATCCTAGTTTAACTGTACCTTGAGTTCCTCTGGTGTGAGAGTAAACCCTGTAAATCCTAGTTTAACTGTACCTTGAGTTCCTCTGGTGTGAGAGTAAACCCTGTAAATCCTAGTTTAACTGTACCTTGAGTTCCTCTGGTGTGAGAGTAAACCCTGTAAATCCTAGTTTAACTGTACCTTGAGTTCCTCTGGTGTGAGAGTAAACCCTGTAAATCCTAGTTTAACTGTACCTTGAGTTCCTCTGGTGTGAGAGTAAACCCTGTAAATCCTAGTTTAACTGTACCTTGAGTTCCTCTGGTGTGAGAGTAAACCCTGTAAATCCTAGTTTAACTGTACCTTGAGTTCCTCTGGTGTGAGAGTAAACCCTGTAAATCCTAGTTTAACTGTACCTTGAGTTCCTCTGGTGTGAGAGTAAACCCTGTAAATCCTAGTTTAACTGTACCTTGAGTTCCTCTGGTGTGAGAGTAAACCCTGTAAATCCTAGTTTAACTGTACCTTGAGTTCCTCTGGTGTGAGAGTAAACCCTGTAAATCCTAGTTTAACTGTACCTTGAGTTCCTCTGGTGTGAGAGTAAACCCTGTAAATCCTAGTTTAACTGTACCTTGAGTTCCTCTGGTGTGAGAGTAAACCCTGTAAATCCTAGTTTAACTGTACCTTGAGTTCCTCTGGTGTGAGAGTAAACCCTGTAAATCCTAGTTTAACTGTACCTTGAGTTCCTCTGGTGTGAGAGTAAACCCTGTAAATCCTAGTTTAACTGTACCTTGAGTTCCTCTGGTGTGAGAGTAAACCCTGTAAATCCTAGTTTAACTGTACCTTGAGTTCCTCTGGTGTGAGAGTAAACCCTGTAAATCCTAGTTTAACTGTACCTTGAGTTCCTCTGGTGTGAGAGTAAACCCTGTAAATCCTAGTTTAACTGTACCTTGAGTTCCTCTGGTGTGAGAGTAAACCCTGTAAATCCTAGTTTAACTGTACCTTGAGTTCCTCTGGTGTGAGAGTAAACCCTGTAAATCCTAGTTTAACTGTACCTTGAGTTCCTCTGGTGTGAGAGTAAACCCTGTAAATCCTAGTTTAACTGTACCTTGAGTTCCTCTGGTGTGAGAGTAAACCCTGTAAATCCTAGTTTAACTGTACCTTGAGTTCCTCTGGTGTGAGAGTAAACCCTGTAAATCCTAGTTTAACTGTACCTTGAGTTCCTCTGGTGTGAGAGTAAACCCTGTAAATCCTAGTTTAACTGTACCTTGAGTTCCTCTGGTGTGAGAGTAAACCCTGTAAATCCTAGTTTAACTGTACCTTGAGTTCCTCTGGTGTGAGAGTAAACCCTGTAAATCCTAGTTTAACTGTACCTTGAGTTCCTCTGGTGTGAGAGTAAACCCTGTAAATCCTAGTTTAACTGTACCTTGAGTTCCTCTGGTGTGAGAGTAAACCCTGTAAATCCTAGTTTAACTGTACCTTGAGTTCCTCTGGTGTGAGAGTAAACCCTGTAAATCCTAGTTTAACTGTACCTTGAGTTCCTCTGGTGTGAGAGTAAACCCTGTAAATCCTAGTTTAACTGTACCTTGAGTTCCTCTGGTGTGAGAGTAAACCCTGTAAATCCTAGTTTAACTGTACCTTGAGTTCCTCTGGTGTGAGAGTAAACCCTGTAAATCCTAGTTTAACTGTACCTTGAGTTCCTCTGGTGTGAGAGTAAACCCTGTAAATCCTAGTTTAACTGTACCTTGAGTTCCTCTGGTGTGAGAGTAAACCCTGTAAATCCTAGTTTAACTGTACCTTGAGTTCCTCTGGTGTGAGAGTAAACCCTGTAAATCCTAGTTTAACTGTACCTTGAGTTCCTCTGGTGTGAGAGTAAACCCTGTAAATCCTAGTTTAACTGTACCTTGAGTTCCTCTGGTGTGAGAGTAAACCCTGTAAATCCTAGTTTAACTGTACCTTGAGTTCCTCTGGTGTGAGAGTAAACCCTGTAAATCCTAGTTTAACTGTACCTTGAGTTCCTCTGGTGTGAGAGTAAACCCTGTAAATCCTAGTTTAACTGTACCTTGAGTTCCTCTGGTGTGAGAGTAAACCCTGTAAATCCTAGTTTAACTGTACCTTGAGTTCCTCTGGTGTGAGAGTAAACCCTGTAAATCCTAGTTTAACTGTACCTTGAGTTCCTCTGGTGTGAGAGTAAACCCTGTAAATCCTAGTTTAACTGTACCTTGAGTTCCTCTGGTGTGAGAGTAAACCCTGTAAATCCTAGTTTAACTGTACCTTGAGTTCCTCTGGTGTGAGAGTAAACCCTGTAAATCCTAGTTTAACTGTACCTTGAGTTCCTCTGGTGTGAGAGTAAACCCTGTAAATCCTAGTTTAACTGTACCTTGAGTTCCTCTGGTGTGAGAGTAAACCCTGTAAATCCTAGTTTAACTGTACCTTGAGTTCCTCTGGTGTGAGAGTAAACCCTGTAAATCCTAGTTTAACTGTACCTTGAGTTCCTCTGGTGTGAGAGTAAACCCTGTAAATCCTAGTTTAACTGTACCTTGAGTTCCTCTGGTGTGAGAGTAAACCCTGTAAATCCTAGTTTAACTGTACCTTGAGTTCCTCTGGTGTGAGAGTAAACCCTGTAAATCCTAGTTTAACTGTACCTTGAGTTCCTCTGGTGTGAGAGTAAACCCTGTAAATCCTAGTTTAACTGTACCTTGAGTTCCTCTGGTGTGAGAGTAAACCCTGTAAATCCTAGTTTAACTGTACCTTGAGTTCCTCTGGTGTGAGAGTAAACCCTGTAAATCCTAGTTTAACTGTACCTTGAGTTCCTCTGGTGTGAGAGTAAACCCTGTAAATCCTAGTTTAACTGTACCTTGAGTTCCTCTGGTGTGAGAGTAAACCCTGTAAATCCTAGTTTAACTGTACCTTGAGTTCCTCTGGTGTGAGAGTAAACCCTGTAAATCCTAGTTTAACTGTACCTTGAGTTCCTCTGGTGTGAGAGTAAACCCTGTAAATCCTAGTTTAACTGTACCTTGAGTTCCTCTGGTGTGAGAGTAAACCCTGTAAATCCTAGTTTAACTGTACCTTGAGTTCCTCTGGTGTGAGAGTAAACCCTGTAAATCCTAGTTTAACTGTACCTTGAGTTCCTCTGGTGTGAGAGTAAACCCTGTAAATCCTAGTTTAACTGTACCTTGAGTTCCTCTGGTGTGAGAGTAAACCCTGTAAATCCTAGTTTAACTGTACCTTGAGTTCCTCTGGTGTGAGAGTAAACCCTGTAAATCCTAGTTTAACTGTACCTTGAGTTCCTCTGGTGTGAGAGTAAACCCTGTAAATCCTAGTTTAACTGTACCTTGAGTTCCTCTGGTGTGAGAGTAAACCCTGTAAATCCTAGTTTAACTGTACCTTGAGTTCCTCTGGTGTGAGAGTAAACCCTGTAAATCCTAGTTTAACTGTACCTTGAGTTCCTCTGGTGTGAGAGTAAACCCTGTAAATCCTAGTTTAACTGTACCTTGAGTTCCTCTGGTGTGAGAGTAAACCCTGTAAATCCTAGTTTAACTGTACCTTGAGTTCCTCTGGTGTGAGAGTAAACCCTGTAAATCCTAGTTTAACTGTACCTTGAGTTCCTCTGGTGTGAGAGTAAACCCTGTAAATCCTAGTTTAACTGTACCTTGAGTTCCTCTGGTGTGAGAGTAAACCCTGTAAATCCTAGTTTAACTGTACCTTGAGTTCCTCTGGTGTGAGAGTAAACCCTGTAAATCCTAGTTTAACTGTACCTTGAGTTCCTCTGGTGTGAGAGTAAACCCTGTAAATCCTAGTTTAACTGTACCTTGAGTTCCTCTGGTGTGAGAGTAAACCCTGTAAATCCTAGTTTAACTGTACCTTGAGTTCCTCTGGTGTGAGAGTAAACCCTGTAAATCCTAGTTTAACTGTACCTTGAGTTCCTCTGGTGTGAGAGTAAACCCTGTAAATCCTAGTTTAACTGTACCTTGAGTTCCTCTGGTGTGAGAGTAAACCCTGTAAATCCTAGTTTAACTGTACCTTGAGTTCCTCTGGTGTGAGAGTAAACCCTGTAAATCCTAGTTTAACTGTACCTTGAGTTCCTCTGGTGTGAGAGTAAACCCTGTAAATCCTAGTTTAACTGTACCTTGAGTTCCTCTGGTGTGAGAGTAAACCCTGTAAATCCTAGTTTAACTGTACCTTGAGTTCCTCTGGTGTGAGAGTAAACCCTGTAAATCCTAGTTTAACTGTACCTTGAGTTCCTCTGGTGTGAGAGTAAACCCTGTAAATCCTAGTTTAACTGTACCTTGAGTTCCTCTGGTGTGAGAGTAAACCCTGTAAATCCTAGTTTAACTGTACCTTGAGTTCCTCTGGTGTGAGAGTAAACCCTGTAAATCCTAGTTTAACTGTACCTTGAGTTCCTCTGGTGTGAGGGTAGACTCGTCCACCTCTGTGAGGACATTCCCTACATTCCCTATAAATCCCCACATTCCCTACAATACCTATAAACCCTGTAAATCCTAGTTTAACTGTACCTTGAGTTCCTCTGGTGTGAGAGTAGACTCGTCCACCTCTGTGAGGAGCTTGTCAAAGTACTGGATATCCTCCTGTTTGAGAAAAGGCAGGTTCCCTCCCTGAGGCTGGTCGTTGAACGACTTCACTGACTTGTCTTCAATCTAAAGGTGGTGAAGGTTAGTGGACTGACATGAAAATAAGTAGATTCGGAAATGATGAATGTAACGTTATCTATTAGAAGCCTTTCTTCAAAGATTTTAACTTAATCCAGCTCTCACGGCAAACTCTAAAAATCTTAACCAACTCTAAACTCTACTGGTTACTATGCAACCTCTACTGGTTACTATGCAACCTCTACTGGTTACTATGCAACCTCTACCGGTTACTATGCAACCTCTACTGGTTACTATGCAACCTCTACTGGTTACTATGCAACCTCTACTGGTTACTATGCAACCTCTACTGGTTACTATGCAACCTCTACTGGTTACTATGCAACCTCTACTGGTTGCTATGCAACCTCTACTGGTTACTATGCAACCTCTACTGGTTGCTATGCAACCTCTACTGGTTACTATGCAACCTCTACTGATAACCAACTCTAAACTCTACTGGTTACTATGCAACCTCTACTGGTTACTACTTTACTATGCAACCTCTACTGGTTACTATGCAACATCTACTGATAACCAACTCTAAACTCTACTGGTTACTACGCAACCTCTACCGGTTACTATGCAACCTCTACTGGTTACTATGCAACCTCTACTGGTTGCTATGCAACCTCTACTGGTTACTATGCAACCTCTACTGATAACCAACTCTAAACTCTACTGGTTACTATGCAACCTCTACTGGTTACTACTTTACTATGCAACCTCTACTGGTTACTATGCAACATCTACTGATAACCAACTCTAAACTCTACTGGTTACTATGCAACCTCTACTGGTTACTATGCAACCTCTTCTGATAACCAACTCTAAACTCTACTGGTTACTATGCAACCACTACTAATTGCTAGGTTACAACCACACTTTACCTGGATCCTAACCAACTCTAAACTCTACTGGTTACTATGCAACCTCTACTAATTGCTAGGTTACAACCACACTTTACCTGGATCCTGAACCCAGTCTGCACCATAGGAGTTGGAGTCTGAGTGAGCCTGCGGATAGGGGTGCGGACAGGGGCGTAGTTAGCTGGGGGCTCCTGGATCTTGTAACCCTCTGAAGGGAACAGTCCGTCCAGTTCGTCGTCTGTTAGAGGTCTGTTTCTTTCATCTATTTCACGTTCCCATCTGTTTAAGGTAGAAACTTATTTATTTAAAAATTTATTTAGTTTAGTTTGGAGCGTTTCAACAGCTAAAAATACCTTAAATACCACAGTACTTAGTTCATTATTATTATTTTGTATTATTAATTAAATTAAATTACAAAATAAACACAGACCTGTAAGCCTGCATCTGCTCGGGCGTCATAGCAGCAAGATGTCCCGGTGTTGGAGTTGCCATGCCCATAGCCATCATACCAGCGGGGGTAACCCCCACCCCCAATCCTACGGGGGTGGTTACTGAAGGGGTGGCGCCCCCAGCAGGAGTCTGAAACATAAACTAGTCTGATTTTGTGTATCTCGTGGGTCAACAGATTAATTAAAATAATCAATTAAAATAATCAAACAAAATATGGCAAACCGAACTCCTAAATATGCAATATACCCACACGTGCAATATACCCCACACGTGCAATACCACGTGCAATATACCCCACACGTGCAATATACCCCACACGTGCAATATCACCCACCTGAGCAGAAGGAGTCTCATCCCACCGACTCTTCCTCTTACTGGTGCCCCCAGCGGGGGTTGCTCCAGAAGGGGTCTGTCCCTGCGCTCCAGGGGTCATACCACCATCACCTCCACGGTCAGTGCGGGGTGTCTCCAACCAACCACTAGCGTGACCGGGGGTCTCTGAGATGTCTGCTCGGGGTGTTTCGTCCCATCTGTAGGGGTTAGTTGGGGTGGTTAGTTGGGGGGGGGGGGGGGGGGGGGTAGTTGGGGTGGTAAGAGGTTAGTTGGAGTGGTTAGTGGTTTTCAATCCAATATTAAGACAGAGTAAGATAAGCTTTGTTTAATTGGAATGAGTTAGGCTAATTTCAAGCGGTAAAAATAATATATTTTATTACTGACTGAGCGACCAATGATAGTTATAATTATTAAGTGGACTTATTAAGTGGACTGAGCCACCAATGACAATATTGGTATTACACCAGATGGGTTTATCCTATACGTGTGTTAATTGTACTATTGATGCAATATGGATCTATATTATACGTGTGGTAGGTCTGTTATTTGTACTATTGATGCAATATGGATCTATATTTTCGATATATTTCATCTAAATTATGTGCTGTCAATGTTATAATTTTGACAGTTTCAAATCAAATCTATGTAAGGATTTAAAGTAAAGTGTCACATTTCAATAAGACTTAGTTGAGTTAACATTTTCAGCGATCCTTTTAATCTCAATGTTAAACCTGTGTCTCCTAGCTGATTAATTAATTAACTAATTAAATTAATTAACCTGTGTCTCCTAGCTGATTAATTAATTAATTAATAAATTTAATTAATTAACCTGTGTCTCCTAGCTGATTAATTAATTAATTGATTAATTTAATTAATTAACCTGTGTCTCCTAGCTGATTAATTAATTAATTAATTAATTTAATTAATTAACCTGTGTCTCCTAGCTGATTAATTAATTAACTAAATTAATTAATAAACCTGTGTCTCCTAGCTGTTGATCCTGGTGTCATAGCTCCGGGAGTAGCGTGTCCGGGTGTCATGGCTGTAGCGTAACTGGGTGTCGCCTCCCAAGCTCTAGCAGAAGGAGTAACTCCAGGAGTTTCACTTCCTTTCGGCCTGCCCGGGGTTTCTTCCCAGCCCTTCTGTCGGCCGGGGGTTTCTTCCCATTTGCTTGCACTGCTAGGTGTCTGTTGAGGGAAGGGGGTTAGTGAGGTGATAAATATTATAATTAATAAGGTTCTTAACTTATATTAATAAAGTTATTAAGTTATTTTAATAACGCTCTTAACTTATATTAATAAAGTTATTAAGTTATATTAATAAGGTTCTTAAATCATATTAATAAAGTTATCAACTTATATTAATAAGGTTCTTTATATATCTTAATAAAGTTATCAAGTTATATTAATAAGGTTCTTAACTTATATTAAAGTTATCAACTTATATTAATAAGGTTCTTAACTTATATTAATAATCTTCTAAACTTAATCTTATGTGAAGTTTAATTAGCTACGTCTCCATACGTCAGCTCAATTGAACCTCATGGAATGACTGTCAGTATTGTAATACAGTACTTTATCCAAGCTGAATGTATTTCAGAGAAAAATGGTGTACTAAGTTTGGAGCACAGGCTTTAATTTTGTTAATATGATCAAACGATTTGTTCAAACTCCATGCAGACTATATGTTTATAATGGTTTTAATGCGGAGACTATTTTAGCCTCTGAACTGTTAGTCACGTTGTGACATCATTATTATAATTTGAAAAATTATGTTTGTTTGTCGTTTGTCCTCTGTACGATAATATGTTTAAACAAGAACCAGTCCTATCACTTATCATAGACCGCCTAAATCACATAGGATAACCCCCAGCACAGCTGTAATATTATGTATATTAGTAGTATTAGTAATATTATGTATATTAGTAGTATTAGTAATATTATGTATATTAGTAGTATTAGTAGTATTATGTATATTAGTAGTATTAGTAATATTATGCATATTAGTAGTATTAGTAATATTATGTATCAGTAGTATTAGTAATATTATGTATATTAGTAGTATTAGTAATATTATGTATTAGTAGTAGTATTAGTAATATTATGTATATTAGTAATATTATGTATATTAGTAGTATTAGTAATATTATGTATATTAGTAATATTATGTATATTATATGAGAAGCAGAGAAGTGTATAGGGTGCTTGAAAAACTCAGGTCTGTTAATATGGCCGGGTAGTTTTATTGAACTTAATTCAGATGATTTCACTGTTTTTGAATAGACAACCTATTTTAGAATGAACCTCTAAGTAACCTCTTCCTTGTCTAGGGACTAGCTAAGGATCCATTGGATGTATGCAATCTCCTCGGTCGAATCAGCCGAATGATAGCTCATATTTTCTCCCTCCACGCTCGCTCTCCCATTACTGCATATTATGTAGCGTTGGTATATATTTAATTACACGGTATATATTTAATTACACGGTCATGTAATACTATAAACTTATTAGGGTAGGGAGAGCTCATAGCGGTCTGTTTGGACTGTAGAGAGAGTTCATACTTTCATACGACATGTAATGCATGTTTACAAATATACTCCTACCCTTTTTAACTGCGGCAGTGAAATCCCGGCCGAAGGCCGCCGGGTTACACTAGTCTTCATATAATATGATATGTTTATATAATATATGATACTCCTTCAGAACATCTACATTGTAGTGCACTGTAAATAGTACTATCAACTACTGAGTATTGAGTTTAACTATCTAACTCACTTTGTGCCGTTAGATCAAATCTAAACACTCTTGCTTTGTTCGACTACAGATTTAGTTGTAGCACTATTTAAACAATACCACAATTTATTCAATATATTAAATACAATCTTTTAAACATTTCTTCCACCAGCGGTTTAACTACGTAAACGAACAGACTACCATGAATGTCCCCTCGCTTACAAAGTGGGTAATACGCTGTTTTCTAGCCTTGTTTTGCATCTGTTTCTACAAACTTAGTAACAGTTCATCATCAGAACCACCAAAACCAATAGATCCAGCATTCAATCTTACGATGGATCCCGATGTGAAGCTTATCCTACTTCTAACTTCATTTCGTGGTGGTTCTACGTTTTTGGGGAGGATATTCGATATTAACCCGGCGGTGCAATACCTTTTCGAGCCATTTTATGATGTTGCTTTGCGTGAATTGTACAGTCGGGGCCAGATTTTAGGGGCGAGAGCTGATCACACTGAAGCTGATTTGAGAATGTTGTATCTCCAGCAGATCTTACATAATTGTACGGTGTACAAAAGTTGGTTTCCGGAAAAATACGAGTGGTGTGGGTCACCAGAAGAGAATCTTATCAGATACAACTCCACCGAATGTGAAAAAAAGTTTTACAGGCCAAATAAAACCCCGAAGGAGATCTGCAAACTCCGGAAAATAATCGTACTGAAAGTGATCCGACAGCAGCATTTATCTGACATCCTGAAGATAGCCCAGATCAGAACTGCAAACATTAAGATTATCCACCTGTTGAGGCATCCTATTCCTCTCATGATGTCCAGAGGAACAGGAGGGAAGTATTTTGGCTGGGATAGACGGACTCAGGTAGAGAATGGGCATGACTTGTGGGGCAGACGTGTTAAATCATCCTGGGAGACTTACAACTATTGTGCTTATAATTTGGAGTCTGTTAGATTAGCCGCTAGTGATCCGTGGTTAAGGAGGGCTTTCATGACAGTTACACATCGGGAAATGAGCTTAGAACCACTAAAAACAACAGAGAGAATTTACAATTTTGTCGAAGAAACGCTTACTGACGAAATCAAGGAATACATATTTAAAATGGCAAACGCTGACGATCAATCAAATGAAAACAGGCATGATGGGTTGGATACATTCAAAAACTCTACAGAAACTGTGAATGCCTGGAAAGAGTTGAAGAACCATTGGGTAAAATTTTGGGACTTGTATACAGTTGAGTCTCAATGTAAATTATTGTTCGGTGTGCTAAAGGAGGGTTTTACTGTTGATAGTATTCCGTATGAGAAACTGCGTTATTTGCATCTGTAGCTTGATGTTTATTATTTTATTGCACTTTGAGGTTCTTACTTTAAAATAAATGATTATATTTTCATTAGAACATAACTTAATTAAAGATATTCAAGTTTGTAAAAGATTGGTTTTGTTTAATTTTTAAATTCCACAGTGGCACAAAGTCAAGAAAATTTCTATAGATAAAATGGAAAAACCTTTGGTTAAATTCCAAGGTACCGTCTTGCCCTGGGGGCAAAATTCTCGACTTAAGTAAAAAGACTTTAGTGCGAAATATAACTTAAGTTTTCGCACTTAAGTCTCATTTCGAAAATACTTTTTGCTTAACTTTTTACTTAAGTACCATTGTTGACTTAAGTACCGTTTCGGAAAGGACCCCAGGAAAGGATCTTATGCTCTACCATATTTGTAACTGATATATATAAGGCTGAGTTCTTTAATAATTTTCATAATAGTGTAAGCAGTGAATATTTGTAGTATTATTGATGAAGATAAGTTAAGTTTTATAATATAGATATATAATCTTAGCAATTGATGGAATAATTGTGTTGGAAGCCAGCAAAGATGTGACTCAACCACCGATGCGTAACTCAATCTGACCTCTCTGACCTTTCCACCGGACCTTATATAGTTGGGAATGACTAATGAGGTAGTTGTCTGTTCACAGATCGCCCTCTAAAAACTTACAAGGAAATATTTCCTGTAGATCCTTGGTATATAAGCAACATTTGACAGAGCATTGTGTGGAGTGAGCTATGTGCCCATCCTTGGAGAACCCGGCGAATGTCTTTGCTGTACGGCAGTGTTAAACAAGGAACTGAAACCGAGGGGTTCCGTTCAGGCCCTTCACACTTTGTTTCTGTCTAGTTCTAATGTACCGTCACTTTAAATATATAATGTCCCGTTCCTGGTTACCTCCCTCGAGAAAGTTTTTGTCTCCAGAACCTTCCCTTACCCCAGGTGTTACTCAATTAACTCCTTGGATCGAGTTAGTTTATGAAGGAGCACGTCTTATTTGAGAAGTCTTTGCTGAGCCGCGCATCTCCTTGGATCAACGAGCCTCACCAGAATACTACCCAGTTTATTCTTTAACGACTCATTTGTCCTGCACTTTAATCCTCACCAGAGGTCTACCAGCTTTATAAAAAACTATAACTTTACTTGCACATTACTAGACAATGTTAACCAACCACCAGTAGCTTGTTACAAACCAATTCTCGACCTCCCGAGAAAAGTTCCCAGCTCTATTTCTAACTGGCATGGAGGCTGGGTTTTACGCGAGTTTACCGTACTATGTTGTTTTCTGATTAAGAGACTTAGATCTTTGGGCGTTTTTGGGCGATATAAGTCTGGTTAATTAGAATTTAAAGTATGAGGTTGTCGAATTAGGCATTGTATTGTTTTATAGTTATTATTCTCGTTTTCGTTGTTCGTAACCTAATTTACTACAAATAATCTAAGAATCTGAAGCAAGTGGTGACTGCTTACAATAGTGGCTTCTTCATATAAATTACGATCATGAAAATCAATTTTTCAAAAATCTAAAAGTAATCATTAGTCGAAAATTGGGAACAATTTTCATCTATGAACGGTTTTTGGAAAATGATCGCCAGCTCTATGCTTCGGCAATGGTACTTTTGTGGCTAAAGACATGATTATCAATGACAATAATTACGGCAAAAAGGAGAGAAAATTGTCGATTACGATTTTTCAAGTCGAGGCTCGGACAATTAACTCGCTTAGTTTCTCACCTCACTCCTAGAATTGTGCTCTACAGGAGATCATTTTCTCAGCACCTGTGACAGTCACAGGTGCTGAGAAAATAATCAAGGTCACGTGATAAGATTAGCGGTCACGTGATAGGACCGAATGGCACGTTACCAGTATGATGAGGGTGTTAAGAGAATGGTTCCCGGAATCAGCACAATGAAGGGAACAAGATGCTGTTGGAATTTTAGTTATTCATATTCCACCCGTAGTCCATACAGTCTGTGACCTGATGTTCAACTTTCAACTCTTGGACTAACAAACATTTGTATTCGAATTGGTTTCAAAGACATCGGCATTTGCATTCTTAGTGGAGACATTTGAACAAAAGTTCAAATTTCTGCTTTTTGTTCAAGTGCACGTGTTA